TCAAAGAGCAGGTGCATTTATACGGAGACTTGATTACACACAGGAGCATTCTATTTATCATCATCAGTCATTTAGGACAACATTGGATCATTCAAAGATCCTCACTGAACTTCTGGAGTGAGTTTGCTGCACTGAAAGTAAAGGGGCCGAATAATATTGCACGCCCCACTTTTCAGTTTTTTATTTGTTAAAAAAAAACTTGCTAAGAAGTACAGATGATGGGTGAGAAACCTTCCTTTGATTTGTTAAAAAAGTTTAAATTATCCAATAAATTTCGTTCCACTTCACGATTGTGTCCCACTTGTTGTTGATTCATGACAAAAAAATAAAATTGTATATCTTTATGTTTGAAGCCTGAAATGTGGCGAAATGTTGAAAGCTTCAAGGGGGCCGAATACTTTCGCAAGGCACTGTACTTTGGCAGTGTGAGCCTGACTTCAGCCTAAACCCATTTTGGTCAGTCATTATTTAGCACTAAAATAGAATTAGTGTAAAAATATTGTACAATGTATATGATCTTTGAAACCATGTGACCTGAAATATAATGTCCAGAACGGCAGAAGAATTAAAATACTAAAACTAAACTGCTTTCTTATACATTATGTAAGTTGTTTTAGAGCAACCTTTCCCCCGGAGAGCTACTTGTTCAGGACTAAAGTGGCTGGAGAGCTACTACTTTTAGACAGTACACATAAGGATTTAGTAGATTAATCTGTGTTTTATTTCAAGCACATGTATTTCATTGCAAATCCTGTTTTAAGATTGACAAAATGTTTCTATTAAATTAAGGCAAATTTGGATCATTTCTAAAGGTTCTGGCATTTCTGTTGTGTAGTGGTAAACCCATAAAACAATCCATCATCATTTATTAGGGCAAAAAGAAGGCATTTTATATCAAAAAAATCAACCTTTGGGGAGCTACTTTGAAGAGAGTGGCGAGCTACTGGTACCTCCCGAGCTACAGGTTGGAGACCCATGTTTTAGAGTAATTCTTGGGGCACTCTGGTTTCTCCATAAGTCAAATCCTCTGGTCCTGAACGAGCCAAGCATCAACATTTGGACATGGGTCCTGCCTCTGGGGGCGACTGAAGGATGGGGCAAATTCTGACGACTAGTTTTCCTATGGGGACGATAAAGAATACCATAAACTTTATATAATGGACTGGGACAATGTGGCATTAGTATAAAACAAGCAATGGATGTATCAGCGATGGAAAAGTCAGGGCACCCAGACTACTGCTACTGCTACTGCTGCTACTACTACTACTGCTGCTGCTACTGCTACTACTGCTACTACTACTGCTGCTGCTGCTGCTGCTGCTACTACTACTGCTACTGCTACTGCTACTGCTACTGCTACTACTACTACTGCTGCTGCTACTGCTGCTACTACTGCTACTACTGCTGCTACTACTACTGCTGCTGCTACTGCTGCTACTGCTGCTACTGCTACTACTACTACTGCTGCTGCTACTGCTACTACTGCTACTACTACTGCTGCTACTGCTACTACTACTACTGCTGCTGCTACTGCTACTACTGCTACTACTACTACTGCTGCTGCTGCTGCTGCTGCTGCTGCTGCTGCTGCTGCTGCTGCTGCTGCTGCTGCTGCTGCTGCTGCTGCTGCTACTACTACTGCTACTGCTACTGCTACTGCTACTGCTACTGTTACTGTTACTGTTACTGTTGCTGTTGCTGCTGCCGCTGCTGCTGCTACTACTACTGCTGCTGCTACTGCTGCTGCTACTGCTACTACTGCTGCTGCTGCTGCTGCTGCTGCTGCTGCTGCTGCTACTGTTACTGTTACTGTTACTGTTGCTGTTGCTGTTGCTGTTGCTGCTGCCGCTGCTACTACTACTGCTACTGCTACTGTTACTGTTACTGTTACTGTTACTGTTGCTGTTGCTGTTGCTGTTGCTGTTGCTGTTGCTGTTGCTGTTGCTGTTGCTGCTGCCGCTGCTGCTGCTACTACTACTGCTACTGCTACTGCTACTGCTACTGCTACTACTGCTGCTGCTACTGCTACTACTGCTACTACTGCTACTACTGCTGCTACTACTGCTGCTGCTGCTACTGCTGCTACTGCTGCTGCTGCTGCTACTGCTGCTACTGCTGCTGCTGCTGCTACTGCTACTGCTACTGCTACTGCTACTGCTACTACTACTACTGCTGCTACTGCTACTACTACTACTGCTGCTGCTACTGCTACTACTGCTACTGCTACTACTGCTACTGCTGCTGCTGCTGCTGCTGCTGCTGCTGCTGCTACTACTACTACTACTACTACTACTGCTACTGCTACTGCTACTGTTACTGTTACTGTTACTGTTACTGTTACTGTTACTGTTACTGTTACTGTTACTGTTACTGTTGCTGTTGCTGTTGCTGTTGCTGTTGCTGTTGCTGTTGCTGCTGCTGCTGCTACTATGACTACTACTCCTATGACTACTACTCCTACTACTCCTATGACTACTACTCCTACTACTACTATGACTACTACTATGACTACTACTCCTATGACTACTACTACTACTACTTACTACTTACTACTACTACTACTACTACTACTACTTACTACTATGACTACTACTACGACTACCACTACTTGTATAACACAAGCAATGGATGTATCAGCGATGAAAAGAAGTCAGGGCACCCAGACCATGAACGGAGACAAGGGGGCCTTCACCTTGTCTCACACTTGGGGCTCACTTCTCAAGAGCCAAGTCACAAAATCACGGATCCCTTCTGACAAAAGCAAGAAGTCTGAACCAACAAAACACATCCGGGTAAATAATCAGCATGGCTTCTTTACACACTTCCTGGTTTTAGATCAACGTTGGGATCAAAGGTTGGGTTCATGCGACATCACAACCTTCAAAACAATCATGTGTTGATTTGAGTCTGGTCTTAAAGTTATGCAAAGTTGTTGAGCTTTTAACCATGTTCTACCATTTTTGAGAAGTGTGTTTGTTATGTGTTTAGCTCCATCCACTGCTAACATATCAAACCAGCACAAACACATCCCCCCGCCCCTTCTGTCCAGAGCCTCTGTTTTCAAACTTGATAAATCCTCAGACTGTGACGTCAAGGACTAAGCTGTTTTCTGACTTTTATCTGCCTTGGCTGGAGGTATTTCACTGTTTCAAAGACAGAGAGAGAGAGAGAGAGAGAGAGAGAGAAAGAGAGAGAGGGACTGAGACACAGAGAAGGAGAGAAAGACAGAGAGAGAGATGGAGAGAGAGACAGAGAGAGGGACGGAGAGAGAGTGACTGAGACACAAAGATGAAGAGAGAGACAGAGAGAGATGGAGAGAGACAGAGAGAGAGATGGAGAGACTGAGACACAGAGATGGAGAGAGAGACGAGAGAGAGAGAGACAGAGAGAGAGACAGAGAGAGAGACCGAGAGAGAGACCGAGAGAGAGAAAGAGAGAGGGAGATGGAGGGAGAGACTGAGACACAGAGATGGAGAGAGAGAGAGAGAGACTGAGACACAGAGATGGAGAGAGACTGAGACACAGAGATGGAGAGAGAGAGAGAGAGAGACTGAGACACAGAGATGGAGAGAGAGAGAGACTGACACACAGAGATGGAGAGAGAGAGAGAGAGAGACTGACACAGAGATGGAGAGAGAGAGAGACTGACACACAGAGATGGAGAGAGAGAGAGAGAGAGACTGAGACACCGAGATGGAGAGAGAGAGAGACGGAGAGAGAGAGACTGAGACAGAGAGAGAAAAAGAGAGACAGAGATGAGAGAGCGAGACAGTAGTTGATCTTTGTGATGTCTTTTGGTGGCGTGTCTTCCCCCACTCTGCTCCATGTTCTATGTTTACTGCAAGAACACATTGTGATGTCGCACGTTTACCCTCGGCTAGAGATGTTTCACTCTGTCACCCTTTTATACAGTGTTTGTTTACTCTTTTGACTCTCTCCTCAAGACATCATTTCATTCTCAAACACGAAAAGACCTATTCCCAAGAACAACACGCAAAACATAGACACAAATAAATGCATAGAATTGGAGCATTTTGGGAGAAAATCTGGGTTTTTTAAAACTTATTTATCTCATAAGAATCTAAACATATATGAAATTTATCACACTGCTGCACAGACTGCCACACACTGAGAGCTGATTGGCTGAAGAGCTCATTTGCAAAAACAGATATATCCAGTGTAAACGGGTCAAAAAGTGGTCTTCCTCTGGCTTCAATGTTTTGTTTTGGTGACTATGGAAGGATTTGCCGGGACATTTTATTTGTAAATCACAATAATAGATCTGGCTTTTCAAAAATGACTCTGAAAACGGGAAAATGTAAATGTTTTTCTAATAATACTTATCTGGTTTTCCAAATGAAGTAGATAGATAGATAGTCACTTTAATAACACCTCAGGAAGAATTGTGATATAATAATGTCATGTATTGTCCATAAACAGTAATCGCTCCAGTCAAGAACACATTACAAGTGCTAAAAACAAAATTATGAACGTACTTCCTCTTTATAAAGACGAAACCAGTCAAAAAATACCACTGAAAGCCATTTAACTTTTAGTCTCTCTTATTATACACGTTTAAGAGAATCCAAACCAGAACTGGACTGGAGTCTTGTCTCACGAAAATCTAAAAACATCCAAGGACGAAACAGCGTCAAACGGACCCAAGGTTTATTGCTCAACACTAAATATAAACTTAACCTAAGGCCAAATTCCGCTGTAATCACCATTCGAAAAATCCCTTCTTCCCAAACAGTCTCTATCTGTCACTTTATGTCAGAAGTTACACCCAGAAATACACTTGTTTTTTTCTTATCCTCTCGTTAACCTTGTTTTACGCAGGCGCCTCTCGCAGCTAATTGGCGTGTGTCTGAGGTGAAGTGACCCACAGTGAGACGCACGCACGCAAATCCAGCGCGTAAAAGCAAAAAGTAACTACGTTTTTGAGCAATGAATGACATGCAATGAAAAGAAGAATCCAGGCTGCTGTTCTCGTTACTAACCTGTTCAGTCTTGTCTCCAAATTGCTTTTTAATGAGTAAATAACGCCACGGGTTATTCTCATATAGGTTCAAAGAAATGTCGTGTTTGTTTTCCAAAGTTGTGCCAAAAATGAGTGATAGGGTCCACGCGTAAACGTCAAGGCGATGTGTAGAGACCCAGCAAGTCTGATCCAACTTCACCGCGGGCTGAGGACTTCTTTTCAAATTGCCCCCAATGCAAAACAATCCTGCTACAAGTTGTTCCGAGGCCCAAACCGGCGGTGCGTAAAATGTGCCCAGGGCGCGCACGCTCCTGGTTAGTCCGGGGCTGCTGCTGCTGCTGGGGCTGCTGCTGCTGTCAGATCGTACAGAGAGGACTGTGTGAAACTGAATCCAGCTCCTGTCGCTCCCCGCTCTGCATCAACGAAGCTCCGGTGTCTTTTTGTTTAACCCCCAGAGAAGGAGAGAGGCAGGCGGGGTAGAGCGGACGGGTGTGGGAGGGGTTAGAGAGAGAGAGAGAGAGAGAGAGAGAGAGAGAGAGAGAGAGAGAGAGAAGAGAGAGAGAGAGAGAGAGAGAGAGAGAGAGAGAGAGAGAGAGAGAGAGAGAGAGAGAGAGAGAGAGAGAGAGAGAGAGAGAGTGCGTGTGCGTGTCTGTGTGTGAGAGAGAGAGAGACAGGGGCAGAAAGAGACAGACGGAGAGGTATAGAGAGAGAGAAATCAGAAAGCGAGACAGAGAAAGAGAGAGACAGGGACAGAGAGACACAGAGACATAGGTATAGAGATTCAAACTACTTTGTTTATCCTGCCAGGAGCATTTCATTTGAACAGAACACAATAGAATTAGAAATAGAAAATAAATAACGTAAACAACACAGGAAATAAGTGATATGGCAGAAAGTGGAGCCCCATATGAACCTATGAACATGATAGAGAGACAAGGAGTCAGACACAGAGAGAGAGAGAGATACACAGAGAGAGAGAGACACAGGGAGAGGGACAGAGAGAGAGAGAGACACAGAGAGAGACAGAGAGAGAGACACACAGAGAGAGAGAGACAGACACAGAGAGAGACACAGAGAGAGACACAGAGAGAGGGACAGAGAGAGAGAGAGAGAGACACAGAGAGAGAGAGAGAGACACACAGAGAGAGAGAGAGACACACAGAGAGAGACAGAGAGACAGACACAGAGAGAGGGACACAGAGAGAGACAGAGAGAGAGACACAGAGAGAGAGAGAGAGAGAGGGACAGAGAGAGAGACACACAGAGAGAGAGAGAGGGACAGAGAGAGAGATACAGAGAGAGAGAGAGAGGGACAAAGAGAGAGACACACAGAGAGAGGGACAGAGAGAGAGAGAGAGAGAGAGAGAGACAGACACAGAGAGAGGGACACAGAGAGAGACAGAGAGAGACACAGAGAGAGAGACACACAGAGAGAGAGACACAGAGAGAGAGACACACACACAGAGAGAGAGAGACAGAGAGACACACAGAGAGAGAGACACAGAGAGAGAGAGAGAGACAGGGGTAGAGTGAGAGAGAGAGAAGCCGAGCGATGGGACCTGACCAGAGGAACAATGGCGCACTGACATGTGTTGCCTTTGAAGTCCTCGATGGTAAATACACACGTTTTGTGTCTTTGACTGTATCAGACTGAGCAGCGTGGGAAGGAGCGTCTCTGCGGATTAAAGCTCAGCGACCTAACTTTCAGAGCACCAGGAAAATCTACAATGCAGTCAAACTCATCTGAACTAAACCAGCGTCTCTATAGTTTTAATCATGTGTCGTTAGCCTCTGTCTCATCTTTGGACCAGCTTTTTCAGTTAGAAAAGTTATGAGACGTCACAAAACTTCACATTTTTATTTTTAAGGGATCTTTCTTAAAAGTGTACAAAAGATAATGTGTCAAAAAGTTTGGAGTCAACCCCAGCTTTGATTGTGCTTTTAACGTATATTTGTACGACGACTTATTTGGTGTAGCCTGAATATCTAACTAAGTGATAATTAGTAATACAAATATAATAATCAAGGTCCATATAAAGACAATACAAACCCACCACAAAAGACACTGACAAATAAAAACAAAATTACAAAAATTAAAAAAGTCTAATACTTGAAAGGTATTCTTGGGTTTCATTAAACTGGCCAGTAGGGGGCGCATGAGCAGAGGTGGGACAGTTTTGCTCCCATTGAAAACCATGTAAAGTCTGTTTTGGAGTCAAAGGCTCTCCTCCTGTGCGGTGTACGGTTGTTGGAACAGTCTTAATCGGGGACACTCAATTCTAAGGAAGTACTAACAAATATTTCTCAAAGGAGTCTTGATCTCAGGCATTTTTGGAAAGAAAAACAGAAGAAATGTCTGCGTTTCATCGGGGTGGCCTGCAGGGGGCGCTTATCTGGGAAAGCCTTGATCCACCTCGCCCGCCTCATTCCAGTGATTTTTTCAAAGTGTCCTCCTTTATATGAGACCACAGTTGGAACATGAACAAACTCTGGTCTTTCTCTGTATTTGTGCGGTTGCTACAAACGTACACCGCACAGAAAGATGGTGTTTTGACAGCGCTTCTTCTTCTACTATATCTCCGTGTATAAACCACTTCTTCTTCTACTATATCTCCGTGTATAAACCACTTCTTCTTCTACTATATCTCCGTGTATAAACCACTTCTTCTACTATATCTCGGAGATATAGTAGAAGAAGTGGTTTATACACGGAGATGTAGTAGAAGAAGAAGTGGTTTATACACGGATCTCCGTGTATAAACCACTTCTTCTTCTACTACATCTCCGTGTATAAACCCGGCAGACTGCAGCGCCGGGATACGTCACGTCCTGTCCTACGTTTGTTATTCACACCACTGCCCTGACGTCATATGAAACCCAAGAATATGAGGATTTTCCCAAAAAGAACCGCTCTCTCCATTTTTTGAACAAATCTCTCTGGTCTTATTGGCCGAGCACGTGTCACCAGAATGATTGACAGCTGGGAGGACCAATAGTCTTGATGATGCACCCGGAAGTAGAAAATCCTCCATAACAAAAGAATTATTGCTTGTATAATCTTCATATTTGGGCAATGTGGTTAGCGTTCTCGCCTCTCAGCAAGAAGGTCCTGGGTTCGATAGTTTGCATGTTCTCCCCGTGTCTGCACAGGTTTCCTCCAGGTGCTCCACTTTCCCCATACCACAACAGGTGAATCCTCCAGTAAACGGCGACCACTGCTCCTGATGTGGGCCTAGTGGCAGCAGGATGGGTCAAATGCAGAGGGTGAATTGTTCTGTACGCCTTTACCTTTGTGAATGTTGATGCAGACTGGCAGGCCCTCCACTGTGTGTCTGCTCTGGGGCAGCTGTGGCTTCTCACCTGGGGTCCGCCTTAAACATCTCAGCTTCAGCATCACAGACTGCATTCCAACTCTCTGCCACCTGCCTCTGAGCCGACATGTCCCAGGCCTGCTACACACACACACACACACAGACACACACACACACACACACACACACACCTGCCTATAGTCCGTCACAAACACGCCGTGCGGCACTCCCAGCAGCGCAAACAGAGCGGCACACAAAGCCTGGGCCAACAGCTGTGTGTGTGTGTGTGTGTGTGTGTGTGTGTTTAGGAGCACACACACACACACACACACACACACACACACACACTCTCTGAGCCTCAGCCATGGAGGGAGCTGCAGCCTGGTGACGCGGGAATGTGGAGAGCGGAGACACCGACCTGCACGTAGCGAGAAGGCCTACACTCTAAAACAGGGGTCTCCAACAGGTTCTGCTTGGAGAGCTAAAGAGCAGAGAGCTAAAGAGCAGAGAGCTAAAGAGCAGAGAGCTAAAGAGCAGAGAGCTAATGAGCAGAGAGCTAATGAGCAGAGAGCTACTGTTTTGTAGTCGTAATAAAATCGTAATAAAATGCTAAAAAATGCGTTATGGGCTGCACCTACCTGCCCTCCTGCTGCTTCAGTCCTGCACCGCACCGGTCCTCGTTCTACAGTCTGAGTCCTGGGTCCTGGGTCTACATCCTCGGTCCTCGTTCTACAGTCTGAGTCCTGGGTCTACAGCCTCAGTCCTCGTTCTACAGTCTGAGTCCTGGGTCTAGAGCCTCAGTCCTCGTTCTACAGTCTGAGTCCTGGGTCTAGAGCCTTGGTCCTCGTTCTACAGTCTGAGTCCTGGGTCTACAGCCTCGGTCCTCGTTCTACAGTCTGAGTCCTGGGTCTACATCCTCTGTCCTCGTTCTACAGTCTGAGTCCTGGATCTACAGCCTCGGTCCTCGTTCTACAGTCTGAGTCCTGGGTCTACAGCCTCGGTCCTCGTTCTACAGTCTGAGTCCTGGGTCTAGAGCCTTGGTCCTCGTTCTACAGTCTGAGTCCTGGGTCTACAGCCTCGGTCCTCGTTCTACAGTCTAAGTCCTGGGTCTACATCCTCTGTCCTCGTTCTACAGTCTGAGTCCTGGATCTACAGCCTCGGTCCTCGTTCTACAGTCTAAGTCCTGGGTCTACATCCTCTGTCCTCGTTCTACAGTCTGAGTCCTGGATCTACAGCACAGTTCTCTCTTCTCTGTGTCTTAACTGTTGATTCTCTGATCTGTGTTGGTGATTTCAACAGTTTTGTTAAGTCTCTGAGATGATGCTGTTGTGATTTAGGGAAATACAAGAACACAGGGAGGAGCTTTGTGACCTTGATCTTTGAAAAGCGCTGTATAAATAAATGTGACTTACTTACTCTAGATCTGCTTTACAGAGTTACAGGCCGTTCTTATCACTGCCTCCATGTAAACACGGTCCACAGATCTTCACACGGTTAAAGAACTCCAAACGTCCAGAGAAATGCAAACTTTAATGAAAAGTTGGCCCCGCCCCCTCAGAGCGGCGGTGGTCTCCACACTTGAACACACGACTGAGCACATCTCAAATGACTTCACTCTGAGCGCTGGAGCAGAGAGGCTCCGCCCACTCCCACCAGCGCCACAACCATCACCGCATTTCAGATTCTCGCAGCTATAATCAGGAACAGTCTTCCAGAAAATGTGAGAAAGGCTTCTTCTCTGGCAATGTTCACATCCAGGTAAAAACAGTT